GTCCTCATTGCGAAAAGAGACGCTGCACATTTAACGAACGTGCCGCTAGGATACCGGCGGGACGACACACACGGCTGCGCGGATACAGAAAACAACGGACGACAATAAATCCATGAGACCGACCGCCGCTGCTTCAACTTCGACCGCTGCCAGATGACCGACGGCTAGCTCCTTGCGCGTGCAATGGGGTCCCTCGGCGGCATCTCCCCTGGGGGGACAATCGCCGTACGCATCTGCCTCCCTTTTGCGCCTCTGTCGCTCGCTGAACGACCAAAAAGCCGTCGCTAACGTTGTATTTTGCCCCTCGCGCAGATAGGAATCATCGTTGGTCTCTTGTCCACGAGCGTCCAGAGCCTGGGTCTCACGCTCCAACGAAAATCACACATTCTCGAAGACGAAAAGGGCCCCCACGAAATACGTCGGCCACCGTATCGGAGAGGGAAATGGCAGCTGGGGATGGGAATGTTCATCGCCGCAAACCTGCTCGGTAGCTCCGTCCAGATCTCGACCCTTCCTCTCCCTGTACTCTCAACCCTGCAGGCCTCTGGCCTCGTCTTCAACTCGATATGCGCTACCCTTATACTTAACGAACCCTTCACGAGGTGGTCGCTATGGGGCACACTGCTCGTCTGCACCGGCGCCGTGCTGATCGCCATCTTTGGTGCCATTCCCGCGCCTGCACACAACCTCCAGGAGCTGCTCGAGCTCCTCGGTCGGAAGCCTTTCGTGGTATGGATGATCATGCAGGCCTTCCTCGTCCTATCAATAGCCATCAGTGTGGACTGCCTCGACCACTTCACGAGCCTGTCACTCAACTCGAGATTCCGCTTCGTCCGCGGCCTCGCCTACGGAGCCATAAGTGGTATCCTCTCGGCGCATTCGCTGTTGGTTGCCAAGTCGGCTGTTGAGCTGATCATTAAGACGATCGCGGACGGCAATAACCAGTTTATTCACTGGCAGGCGTGGGTCCTCGTGCTGGCGCTGGTCACCCTGGCTTTGAGTCAATTATACTACCTACACCGTGGCCTGAAGCTCGTCTCGACCTCGGTTTTATACCCCATGGTTTTCTGCATCTACAACATCATTGCGATCCTGGACGGTTTGATATACTTTAAGCAGACGGACCAGATCAACCCCTTACGAGCATGTCTCATTGCACTGGGGACAGTCATCCTACTTGCCGGTGTGCTGGCATTGTCATGGCGACTCAGCGACGAACAGCACACGCCGGGCGTGGGCCAGTCATCCTTGGCACCAGGACTTGGCCTCGTGGAGGACACAGAAGATGAAGAAGAGTCCCTTCTGGGCGGCGATGATCTTTACAGCCTCCACGAAGAAGATGACCCATTACCAGCTACAACCTACTCAACATTTAACGTGGCCAGTGGCGAGACAACGCCGCTGACACCGACACCGAAGCGGAAGAAGACGGGCAGGAGATGGCAAGAGCGCGCCGAAATTTGGGGCGAGCTCGAAGACCGCGACACGTCCAGCCCGCCCATCTCGCGCCGGCGCTCCAGCACTATGCCTGGCGAGCTCACCGAATCTACCTCTCTATTACCGCACCGCCGTGGCGTAAGTAGCGGTAGCGGTAATCCTCTCTTTTCGTCCTCAGAAGCGGGACCCAGCTCCGAGTCCCTTTCGTCACGCCGGCCCGGCCCGGGTAGGAGGCGACGTAAATCCACGGGATTTCCGGGCTTCACAGCCCGCCGTCGGCGCAAGAGTCAGAGCAGCAGTCAGCCCACACTACAAGAGGCGTTGGGCGGCATATGGAAGCTCAAGTGGTGGCGACCTGACAGAGGAGACGACGGCGCGAGCAATCCACCGGGTAGCAGCGGGAGCGGCAGTGTGTGGCCTGCATTCCGAGACGAGCCTCCGCCGACGACGGGGCAAGGGGAAGGGGAGAGGGATATTGGTGGTAGTGGAGGCAATGACGGACGCGACGGGTCCCAGGATAGGGGGCGGGACCGGCAGCCGAATGATGATTCGCCTGTATGAGTATCGGAACACTTGTCACGTCATTATTCCCTTTTTAAACATCTTCTTTCCTTTTTCTATCAAGAGACCCCGTTGCTTCTTTATGTGAGCATAATAGCGATTACTTAGACATGTGACAATTGCCAGCAGTACGAGTTATATCTGATTCTTGAATGATCGGCTTGTCTGATATAGTTGACGGGAGCACCTGTCGTCAACGTGTCTTGGTCAATGACCTCGTTCAGCACAGAGAGGTCATAGAGACAGGTTCATCGGATGGTCGAAGCTGACTTTGGTCAAAACATGCTTTTGCTTTTTTTTTGGAGGTCAGCTGTCTACTACGAGCAGACACTTTGTCTTGGTTATTTTTTTCCATTCGCTTTTATCTTTCTGTCTTTGTCTGATGAGCGTCCTGTCCAGAGTGTTGAGATTATCTCCAAGAATGTAGAGAAGTGGATGAAGGACAACAAAAGACAGCTGTCATGTTTTAGGTGCACGGTCAATGTAAGTGGTGGTACAAAACTGAACCTTTGTTCGTTCTCTCTTTCTTCTTGGACAGTTAGACACGGGATCATTATGGTCGTGGGCCGTGGGCGTCGTTCACGTCAACACCACATAGATTTCAGGACCAACGAATGCGCCATAACGCAACATCCGCGAGCCTGTCATCGGCCTTTCTCGATCTGGTCTGAATGGAGAGAGAACATGGGCTCATTCTCGTCCATGTACTGTCCGAGTCAGAGAGCCACTATATTTATCGCACTTGATTGACGGGAGAGCGACGGTGCAGGTAAACTTTCTTTTCTTTCTAGCGGCTTGTTGTATAGTACTCTTGGACCATCCCATCCTGACTCGGAGACTTTTAACGTCATTTGGCCCGGGGGGGGGGGGGGGGTTTGACCTCGCTTGTGGGGGGAGTTTAGAAAATTTTGGGCGCCCTGTGTGTGAGAAAAGTCGGCAGGGGGGGAGGGGGGGGTGTGTCTTTTTTTTTTTTTTTTTTTCGTTGGGGTTGGTGTTTTTGTGGCCCTCCCCCCCCCGCCCCGGTTGGGTGTGTTGTTTGGGGGGGGGGGGGGGGGGGGGGGGGGGGGGGTCTTAACCTGTCTGTTGGGAGATATTAGATAACTATCGTCGCCACTTTGTGTGAGAACAGTCGACAGGAGGCGATTCAATAAAAGTTGTTGAGATGAATACTCTATTTGATTCCGATGAACATATGTAAAGAAAAAGAAGAAAAAAAGAAGAAGAAAAAGAAAACCGAGGTAGGTCTCCAGCATCCGGCGAGGTTCCGATAAAGTGCCACACCTATTCAAAAACGGGACCTCTTTTATTCTTCCTTGTACGCGAATTACAGTTGAAGTCCATGCCGTGGACCGATCTGTCTGCTTGCTGCTCCAGCGTCAAATGAGATGAGAAATTCACTCAGCGCGCGCGCGCGCGAGAGAGAGAGAAAGAGGAGCAGACCGGGTCGGCTCCACTTGACACGACATTTCCATAGACATCATGCATCACGAGTACTCACCGCGCCCGTTCTCTCATTCATACGGATACAAAACTCGGATACTCGGCTTCACAGCAATAGACAGACAAAAACATCACCCCAAGCCGCGTGTCATCGAGATAGATGTTGACGGGTGACGCGGTACTCCACGCTGAGTCAGAGTTGTAAACCGGTGTCGTTGAAGGTCGTGGCCGTCGCCCCCCCTACCCGCCGTTGATCCGGGTAGATGGTCCAGCTCGTTTATCTCGTTCCATCTACATTGTGGGGTCACCCAGCGCATTACGTCCGCCCTTCTCTGCCCTCCCTCCCGTCCATCATAGTGTCTCTCGTCCGTCAACCTTGGCCAGGTGATTACTCCCATTCAAAACTACCTCCCAAAAAATCCTCAACCGGCCTCTTTCCCTTCCTCCGCCGTACGAGCTCCGGTTGCCTCCCAATCATCTCTCAACAGGGTTTCGCTTGGCGTGTTTACACTATACATCTCGAGAGTTCTTCTATTTCCGGCTCCTCCGATCCCCCGTCTCCGTACGACACTCTGTCCGTAGGCTAGTCAACCTGGCACATGCCATCTGTGGTTCACCAACCATGATCGGCAATCTTGTTTATTTGAATCCGCGGGGGCTGCAAACAAATAGATTGGGGCCCTGGCCCATCTCAATATACAAGGTCGTTCATGTCACAAATAGATCCGGCGCGTAGTGGCGTGCTCACACTAGAATGAACTACCGAACTTGTTATATATATGCACACACGCATCTCCCTCCGTCCTGGAATATAACCACAGCATAAACCGTCCTTGCCGACATGAGGAGCTGAGCCTCCCCCTATTCTTACACACCTCACGCCCTCCCATCGACTTCACTCGAATCCACATGTTCAGTCACCAGTCACTAATCATCGAGCGAAAGAAGAGAAAGTTTGAAAAAACAGGTACTGCTTTCAGGGCAAGTTCCCCCCTTTTTTACAGAACAGAGATAATCAACACTAAAAATCTATATATGGTGTCCGCACAAACAAGAAATAAGGGGTTCGTCGGCAAGGAAGGCTTTGAGCGAGAGAGAAAGAGGTAAGAGAGATGTTGGCCGTCACACAAAAAAAGACCTGTCGCTTCGACTATCTCCGTCCGAAAATTCGTTTTCATGCGTTTAGATTCGTACACCACCCCGGTATCTCCTCGTAACAGAGAAGAAGACCGAGGGGCTTCTGCGGAACGCAGAAAAAAAAAGGGGGGGGGGGGGGGTCAAGTTATTGATTCTGCCTGTCCACTTTGTCTAAAGAAAATCGGAACAAGATTAAGACCAATCAATGGCCGCGGCGGGGGTGAGGCGATTCAGTCTTTTCCCCGGTCCAGGAGAAAGGAGACCACGAACAGTTGCTCGCTCCAGATTTGCCGCACGTTCAAGAGAAAAGGAGTTCTCGAGAAGAGGCTGGCTTCCCGAGCGAGAGAGAGAGACGACAAAAATTGGCGCCAACTCGAGCCAGCGGCTTTTCTTTTGCCCTGAACAACCAAAGCTGGGCCGCCGGCTTAGAAACCGCGGTAACCAGCCTTCTCGTCAATGTGGCGGTAACGTTCGCGCTCCTTGCGATCCTTGAGCAGCATGGCGATGGTGACAATGAGCATGGCGTCGATACCGACCATACCGAAGACGGCAGTGAAGATGTTGTCGACGAAGATGTTGGCGAAACTCGTAATCGGGGTTGCGCAGCCGCGTTGCAGGGCGGCGGCGGCGGGACTCGGGCACTGGGCGTCGGTGACGAAGGCGGGCGAAGTGCTGTTGAAGTATCCGCAGCATTTAAACTGATGTCGAGCGTCAATCATTGGTGACGATACTTGAGAGTAGAAGAAAGGTCACTTACAGCAGTCTGCATGAGCTCCTGAACACGAGGGTCCTGGACGTTCCACGTCTTGCCAAAGTCGTTCTTGGTGGTGAGAGTGAGAACCCAGAGGTAAACACCAAGAATCAGACTGAAGAGACCGCAGAAGGTGGTCAGGTAGCCCGAGATCTTGAGCCAGCCACGAGTCGGCGTGATCATGCCGGGGATGGTGGAGAGGAAGGTGACGAAGATGAAAACGGCATTGGCAATACCGGCTATAAGTCAAGTCAGTCACGATGTTCGATATGTTCCCTTGCCCACTTCCGTCACGTAAGTGACATCCTCTTGGATTGTCGTCGTACCTGTCAGTGGGAATTGAGCCGTGAGCAAGCGCATAACAGCCTCGGTTCCTTCCGTGGGCGCCTCCTTGATGAGGTTCTGGTTGATGAGGGTGAAACCCAGAAGCAGAGCGCCGGTGATGACGAAGACGATGTCGGCGACCACGAAGGTCATGAGCACTTTGTTCGCCATGGCTGAAGCTTTTCGATGAAACCGAGCAGCCTAGAGACCCGAGAACCAAGATGTCGCTCGGAGAGACTTGGCTGCTCCTTCGTGCTGCAATTCCTCCTCTTTTTTCTTCCGAAGAATCCTCCTCTTTGTTGGAAATAGTTTTTAGATTTTGCGATTTAGAGATTGATGTTTGATTTTGACGTCCGGCGTCTCTTTGTGTCTAGAATTTGGTGATCGATAGGGAAAAAATCGGCGGGTATGCGTTCGTCGGTGTCGTCAGTATCGCTGGTGTCGGTGGGTAAGGACTGTCTTCGACCAGCAAAAATGTAACGGAACCTCCACCACCCAGCGGGGACGAGCACACGAGAAGGAAGGGTTTTTGAAAAGAGAGAAGTCGACGAAGCCGTCGCGAAGAAGGGAATAAGGTTGGAGTGAACGATTGTACAGAAGAACGTGAAGATGGACCGAAAATCACCCTCCAGATGAAAAAACCCGACTACAGCACTGAGGAGTGGGAGGAGAGGAGAAGAGATGCCTCGTAGTGCAACAGAGACGAGGTCTGAGTCTCTCTCTCTCCACTGGGTCCATGGGAGAATGGGACGTGGGCGGTGGAGCGGGAGAGCAGCCGGTAAGGGGGTCCACAATACTGTCTCGGACGAGACCTGCGCAGGCAAGGGAGACCCCAGAGGAGAATCGCCAGATTCAATCAGTCAGGCGAGGGGGCGCTGTATCGAGACTCGAGACTACTCGAGAGAGAGCGGTTACTTGGTTACGTATCCGTACATTAGTCTTACCTTAGGTACCTTATTGGCGGGCGGTCAGGGCCCCTCGTCCGTCTTGGAAGGCTCGAACAGCAGACGCGAGGATGAGAAACGCACCAGAAACACCTTGGGACCAGCCCATTGCTCGTCCACACTGTGCCTTGGGGGCCTTGTTGCTCCCAGTGAGCCAGCAAGAGGGAGCCGTGTGAAGAGATCGAGACAACAGCAGAGAAGAAACTGTGAAGGGGGGAGAAGAGGGCTGAGGGAGGTCGCGATGAATCCGACTCCCTGACGGACTGCGTTTCAGGATCGAGGGGCGTCCTCATGCAGGCGGCTGTGGCACGCACCAATCGAGAAGCCGTGCAGGCGCTGGTGACTGGGATCGTGGCCAATCACAACACCAGAATCGTCCAAGAGTCGCCAGATTGGGGTGGTCGTCCGTTTGAGCCAATGGCTTAGGGCTGCGCGTACCTTCCTTGGAGGCTTGGTCACTTTTCGGTACCTGGCTTGGCCCTTGCTTGGCCCTTGCCAGACACCCAGAGAACTTGCAGGTTGGAACGCTGAGAGAAGTCACCACCCACCAACCCTACGCTGGAACGCTACATTACGTAGCATTTTCTTCCCTTCCATCTTCACGTGGTGAAGCATGGCTCATGCCTGCCACACCCAGGTACCTCGCGGAAAAAGCACCTTATTGTTACGCTTACTTCAGCGGCCCAACGGTTTGTCCTCCCAAGACCTCGAGACACTCAAGCCTCCTCGACTTACATCATCAAACAGGGGACGAATCCAGGAACCACCCCAAGGGCTCAAATGCTCACCAAGTGGACGCGGCAACGCGAGACATGTCACAACCCTCGATAGCGAATACCACTATAACACGCGTCGACGGCCTCTTGTGTCTACAATCTGTGCCGGCTAGCCCGACAACTTACTCCGTACAGAGTTCGAATACAGTCGTTACTACTACGTAGTGATAATTATCTTCCGGAGTACGGAGTATACTACGGATAGATGTCCTGTTCAAAGGATAGGTCGGCCGGCTCCCACTTGGCACTCGTACGAAAGCGTGCTGCTCAAGGTAAGCTCCGGGCACCGCGGAGCACTCTACCGATTCAGAATCCTTCCCTTACCGTGTACACTTCACTTTCAGGCCCGCCGCCCGAGGCCATGAGCCCTCCCTGCCAGCGAAATTCGAATTTGACAGGAGCCCCCCTTCCCCTCGTCGTGGCACGATCCCGTTAGATTTCAGCCCGATGGTCTCGCCTCTTTCATAGACTCAAGACTGCGGTGGTACGGTGGCACCACATTACCGCCCAATTTCCAACCTCTTGGCTCACCTGCCGAACCATGTCTGGCGCTTCAACGCTTCCCCACCAACGCTTTCCGTGATAAGGTAATCCGGAGATGTGCGACTAAAAAGACTGGTGGTCGCCGATGCTTGTGAACAGACAGTTGTGGTTCCTCGGGAACGACGCCAGGGATCTTGGGGCGCTAGCGACTCGGACCCTCCCTTATTTTTCTTTCCTCTGTCTTTCACCAGAGTTTGATAACCATAATCAGTGTCGAATTACCATTTTCACATGAATGATTGCCTAGAGCATCCGTAATGAGGCTCTGTCTCTTTACGCATTTTTGTATGCGTACGTAGTATAGAGACTGCATATGCATCCCTAACATATCAACGTATACCCGCAATGCACCTCTGGATCGCATGGAAGAACTCTCGGACTTTTCTTCTTCAGAATTCCCGCTGGTTTGGACGCCCAGACCTGTCAAGAGAGAACCCCCCAACCCTTTGAACGAGGGACAGTGCAAACCTCAGACAGTCTGGTCTTGTTGGCCTTTCGACAAAAGAGCCCGGGTTCCACCCACTGAGAAGGCGTGCTATCCGAGTGGAAAGCATTACCGTGGATGTTCGATGCCTGTCGTTTCGTCCATCCTGCGGTGCGATGCCGTTCCGTTCCGTTTTTGCGTCGTCTGGTATTTCATTTTCGATTCATGGTGCAATCAACAGGAAACGTGCGCACGACGAGCCTGGAAACAGCGTGCAGTCCCATTTCCACTTTCATCATCCGGCAACTTCTGAGCCGGTACTTGCATTCGTCAATTGAAATGCCTCTAATTCTCGTGTTTGTGGACTTTGTTTGTTGATTGTTCCGGAGTGTTTCGATGACACGGTTCGCTACCAGGCGATCATATTCCCCGTGGTTCTTGAGGCAGCATGGATAGATGAGACGCAAGTTGTGCAGCGAGCTGAGATTGCCGATCTATACAACCAACACCCAGATTATCACCGCGCCCTGAAACTGGGAAATCTTCATGTTCTTCAGCGGCGCAGCCCGGCACTTCGATACGTTGTGCTTAGATGATAAGCAAACAAGACTCAGATGTAATCCGATAATCCGAAGAAATCCAGGGGGAAAGGAGTTCAAAAGTCAACAACAGCATGCGCACGTACCACTTCCGGTCACACACCGACAACCACAACGTTGCCAAAATTGTCCCAAATGCCCTCTCTTCGATTTCCGTCACTACAAAAAGCGTCGTTCTCAAATCGGCAAAAGGATTGGGCCCTAACCAGGATTCGAACCTGGGACCTCTCCCAGACGTGTCGTAAAGACCCTAAGGGAGAATCATACCGCTAGACCATCAGGGCAGATCGTATTCCAAGTGGATGTCCTTGGATGTGAGCGGTGGCGGAAATTGTGCTCAAGTTCGTGGGTGAGGTGTGGAGGGCCGCGATATTTTCTCGACTAAGGGCAACTGACACGAGACAGGGGTGTGATGAGGCGCAAAAAGCGGGAACCGATGGTGAGACATTTCAACGGCTTGTGGCGCTTCAACTACGAGTTGCATTGGATGTAGATAGATATGACTATTTTGTAATTTATCTAACTGGGTGACTAATATTGAACACTGAGCATCAAGTCCGCAATGCCAGCGTTGTCTGCCCCGTGTCAACACATCTTAACCAGCTAAGCTGGAAGAATAGGTTGTCGGTCAACACACAATCGTCGTCCTTATAATTACTACATCAGTTGTCCCATTACAAAACCTCTCAAAGGATGGTATTTGAGGAAATATAGAGAGCGAAATACCTTAAGCTAATGGGAAAGCCAACATGGCTATGGTAGCAGTAGTAGAAATGAGAGTTATATATTAAATGGCAAATCATTGTGCAATCCACCACACCTCCACACGCTTTTGCGTCTCGAACCACGCACTTTACGGTATTCTCCTCAACTGCACCATGCCATCCGGAACTAAGGCCGATGTAAGGCCAGATCACTCAAGCCTAGATACACTGCTCAGAAGTCATATCTGAAGTCAGGGTTCTCCTTATCCGTCATATCAGCAAACGCGTTCGAGTGCTCAATTTTCTCGTCATTAGCCCCGACAGCCCCGGCCTTGCCGACGTCCTGTTCAACTTCCTCGGCCGCCATGTTCGCCGGGTCCGCGGCAGCAGCGGCCTTGCGCTTGGCCATATTGCGACGGACGAGGAGGAAGCGCAGGAGGACGAGGAAGATGTTGAAGAGGACGTAGAGGCAGAAATGAGCCGTGAAGCCCTTGCGGTAGCGGGGGGCGTCGGCGGCCTGGAAGATTTGGGGCGCCGTCATGTTACCCGCGGCCCAGCCGATGAAGGTCATGGCCAGCGTCGTCGACTTCTTGGTCTGGCCCGCGACATTGCGCGAGATGAGGGAGAAGATGAGGTTGCCCTCGGCCAGATAGAATTGGGTGCAGTAGAAGGCGATGAGGAGACCGATGCGATTGCTAGTGCTGGGTGGGATGCTGTAGATGATGGCCGTGCCGATGATGGCGGGACTTTATTCTAGATGTTAGCATATTGCGTCGTATTTCCTTTCGAACGGTTATTTACTAACATTGTGCATCCCTGCATGCGAGAAGGGTTAGCTTCGTCTCTTTACAGTCAGTAATTCTTGGCTTTTACTCACATGCATGACCCAGGCAGTCTGTCTCGACCAAGTAGCCAAGGTCGCGCTGCCAACCATGACAATGATGGTGACGGCACCCTGTGCAATGTTCAAGAGCTGCGTCTGCAGGTACGTGAATCCGAACGAGGAGATGATGAGGTTGGAGAAGACGCCAAGCCCGCCAATGATGAGGGTGGAAGTGACCTGAAGCATGACGTAGCACCACACGACGGGGTCGGTGACGGTCTCGATCATCTGGTAGCGCTTGTACGTCTTGTTCTGAATGCCCGTCTCGTTGGCCCGCACACGCTCAACCATGAGGCGC